CTCGAGTGGAATTGAGCCCGTCACCTCCGGAGTTCAAAGCAGACCTCTTAGACACTGTACCACGACTCCACGAACCCGTTGTCAGTTAAGGTTCGTCGTTCTAGTAGGCACCCAAGCCTGCAAGTTCGAACTACCCCACTTTTGGCTGGTTGGTTACCTCTACTGGCAGTATCGGTGCGGATGTTGCTTTGGATTCAAACTGTTCCCCGTTTGATTCCACGCTTTTGTTCGGGCAATAACGGAACAATTTATCTGGTGCGTAATTATTTCTAATTTTAAAACCAGGTCTTAAATTCCATGGAAGTTTCTAAACAGCTGCACCAAGGTTTGACCGCAGCCCAGATCGCTCGTTGCTCTAAGATGCAAAATTGTCTGCCGGTCTTGCTCCATATTTAACAGCGCGCTCCCTTATTCATAATTAAATGAAGAATCTTTATTTAAATAAGGTAATGTTTATAAACATTGATTCAAAACCAGTGCGTTGATACCCTTGAAAGAGTATGTTATAGAAATACTGCTGGAATCATTTTTTGTTGGTAAAACATTTCTGTTTTGATAAAACTGCTGATATATAAGTAATGAACTAATAGTTGCCACGTCTTCTCTAAACAGTGTAAATTTTGCGTTAAAGAAAAGTTACGCGAATTTTCCTTGACTCTGCATATTTTCTACAATGATTCTAGGTGTCTCCTGTTAGCGAAGAAGTTCCAAGACACCTGCGGTATCAATGAGCAGGGTCATTGGCGGGGCGGTAAAGCGTTTTGCGAGGTCGCGAAAGAAGGAGCAGGTGACGGTGGTGCATGGTAATCCGTTCAAGACATACATTCGGGCTGGCCAGGCGGCCCCATCTCCTCCGCTGGGCCCCCAACTCGGCGAACGAGGCATTAACGCGGCTAACTTCTGCAAGGAATTTAACAAAAAGACCGAACACATCATCGAGGGCGTACCGCTGCCCACTCGTATCTACATCAAGCCAGACCGAACGTACGAATTCGAGTTCCAGACGCCACCTACCGCCTGGTTGCTGAAACAGGCGGCTGGCGTCAGTAAGGGTAGCGGAAAAGTCGGCGAGCTAGCTGGAATGGTGACCCTGAAGCACGTTTACGAAATCGCTCGTGTCAAAGTGCAGGACCCAGTGAACATGGGCACGCCTCTAGAGACTATGTGCCGTATGATCATTAAAAGTGCCACCAGGTGTGGTATCAAGGTCGTCAAGGAGATAGATCCCGAGCAGTACTTGGTATTCCTGAAGGAACGGGAAAAGTACCTGATCGAACTGCAACAGAAAATGATTGAAGAAAAGAAGGCTAAATTATTGAAAACTGCTTAACACGAAGGATTCAATCCGTATAAAACTTTGTATTATTTGAAGATTTTGTGAAATAGGCAATAAACTTGTGATAATG